TATGATATTAATAACATAGTCAAGTCATAGTCTTTAAATGTTTTATATGAAAGAAATCCATAAAAAATGAAAATACTTTTAATACAGCCTGATATATAATAATAATACTACTACTAATAATGATGATGATGATACTACTAATAATAATATAATGGGATCATGAATCATTTTATATGAAAGAAGCTTTGGAGTAAAAGTCTATCAAATCAATTAAGAAGCGTTAAAATGAACAGCATACTTTTCTTGCAAATAACAAAAGCAACCAAAACAAAAATGATATCTTGGATCCTTTTTCCTGGTTCATTGACTCTTCAGGAATTTTCCTATGCAAAGGATTGAAGATGAGAGAAATCAATTTAACATCAAAGAGATCAATTCCCTTTGTACATCTACTGATCAAAAATTCATAGAACAAAGTGTTGAATTAAGTAACCTGTTCCAAATTGAATCTCTCTCCTCTGCCATTTCCATTTTTATAAAGTTGCTGTCAAGTAGAGGGTGTGGGAACAACCTGATTGTGTGAATCTGTATTATGTTGAAAGTTGCATTGGCATGCTTCACTTCACTCAGTAATTAATGAAGATGACACAATATTTTCATCATTCAAAATGTCTTTCTCTATTCAACTGGATATTAAGAACAAGTCATACATTATTAACACATGAAATCGTGCTTTATTAAGTAGGAAGTTCCAAATAGCGTACATGGGGAGGAAAGATTTATAAATGACTGTAGTTAATAATGGTTGACTTCAGGAAGGAGAATGAAAACAAATTCAGTGTGGTGTATGAAAACAGAAAGGCAATTTTCTTTAGCACTTGGCTATACAGAAGAAGTCAAATACATTTGTTGTCAGGACCAGAGCATATGAGTGATAAAAATCACTGAGCTAAAACTTTGTTCATTTAGACTAGGTATATGGAAATATTTCAGGAGACCATATGGAAATATTTCAGGAGACCATATGAAAATATCAAACCAGAGAAAAAAAATGATCTTCAGCATAAGGGTCAGTGCTTTGAATATCTTTTGCTTTAATCTATATAGAAACACTTTCTCAGATTAATGGTTGACAATGGATTCACATGAATAAATCCTTTAAATCATAAGGAAAATGATCTTTCGGCAGAAGCTTTAGACTGGTGCTTCAAAAACACAAAGGGCTATAACAAGTGGAGTTATCTTTCTCCTAAATTGCTTTCCCTTACTAAAGAACCTAATCTGCTCTACTATTTAACTCCATAGCTGGAAAAATAGTGATTTATGCCTTTACCTAACAGCATTAATATGAAGTGAATGTACGCAACAACCTTAGATTTCAACAACTCAAACTGCACAGTGTGGTGAATGAAAAAAGCATTTGACATTACAAGTTGTTATGACAAGAAAATATGAATGGTATGATAAAATCATTGGGTTAAAATTTCATTCATTCAAACACAAGTTTTGCCAATATTTAAACACAAACACATGGAAATATAAAAAAGAAAACAGTTCTTCACCAGTAGGTTCAGTATTTTGAATGAGAATGTCTTATTCTGTTTAAAGATTTGTTTTAAACGGAGGGTCTTTTATCATAGTTCCAGAGAATTGATAGAGGCAGAATGTTTGTCTTTGTGTATGTATGAGAAAAGGTAATGAATACGGAACAATGTCTTACTTTGTTGAAAAATGACAAGAGAGAGAAAGAGAGACAGAAAAAAAAAGTTGAATTTTAGTATCCTAACCTTTTTCTTCTGGAAATACACATGGTTATATATCTTTTGATTTTCTTCATAATTTTCAGCTGGGTTTAATCAAAATGATTTTCAATAATCCTTTCTTCAATAACTATTTATTTATAAATGAATCACAATATATTTCAATAGAAATTTCCTTGTTCCTGGGTCTTCTTATTCTGGCAGTGAATTAGGTAGTATCATAGTGTTCCACTATTCTGTTCATTTCCATCATGGCTGACAATCTATTTCTCATGACCTTGATTTGTTGTCAGAGCATTCCTTTTCTGTAAAGCCTGCTTCTATGTAATTGTAAACAGCTATTTAAATTTTATAATTCACTGTGACATTTTTTTAGATATTTGATTATGGTTACATAATATAAATGCTACACCTGTTCTTTTTGTAGTGTAGTTTGTAATTTTGAATAATTTGATACTTTTTTATTATTTAACTAGAAGTTGTTACAAAACTGGACATACATTGTAACACCCGTAATACCATCAAATCAACAGCCCAAAAATATTATGAGAGAAAGATAACAATTACAGTTAACTCTGCTTGTCGACTCTCTACCTCTGGGCAGAAAGGAACCCAGACGAAGCTATGCCAAAGGAGAGAGTCTCATCTGGGGAGGTAGACAGCTACCCAGCCCTCTTAGTATGAGGTCTACGGGAAATTTTTGCCAGAGCCTACGGGTTTGGAACACACCACATAAAAAAACCTGTCGTGCCACATCCCGCCTCATGGGAAGATCTTGGGTAAATACCGAGGGAGAAAGAGGAGGATGGTCTATACTGTGATCAGAATACTTGAACATGGGGTCTGTATTAAGTTACAGCCCACTTTTTTGTCTGCCAACTAGTTGGAAACTTTTGTCATATCCTGATACTAAGGTTCTAGGACCATTTTGGCCATGTCTACCCAGACTAAAAATAGCCAATGTTCATATGACCCTCTACATTCCATCAACTCCAGCATTTCTCAATGGTATCTACACTCACAGTCATGACCTCAAATTCTGGCAACTCCAGCACTTCTCAATGGTACCTACATTCACAGCCACAACCTCAAATTCTGGCAACTCCAGCATTTCTCAATGGTACCTACATTCACAGCCACAACCTCAAATTCTGGCAACTCCAGCATTTCTCAATGGTATCTACACTCACAGTCATGACCTCAAATTCTGGCAACTCCAGCACTTCTCAATGGTACCTACATTCACAGCCACAACCTCAAATTCTGGCAACTCCAGCACTTCTCAATGGTACCTACACTCTGAGCACACAACCTCTTGTTCCAGTATCTACAGTACTTCTCAACAGTATTTTGCAATCTCAGCACTCCACTTTTCAATCTGCTTTCTCCAGTACTTCTGAATGGTACCTACATTCACAGCCATGACATTCATTCCAGGATTTTCTGTGTTTTCTTGTCAACAGCATATTATATAAACTTTCTGACCAATCTACTTTGAACTTTGTTCATTATTAGATTTTCCAGTTCCTAGTATGCTATATTTATTTTTCTACAGAACTCTATACAACTTTAACAATTGCATTTCATTTCAAGTTTTGTATGAAATTTGCCAAGAATAAATTTTGGTTAAGTTTTATTTTTGGATTCCTTGTCTTCTGTTGTCCTTGTATTTGACCTGTGTTTCCACTGCAGTAGTGATTAATGAATGGTTGAAAAAAAATGATGAAGGTTATAGAATACCAAGGAGTGTATATTAAGATTATTTTATTCAGCTTATCATCATGTTAATCAAATATATGTTTCTGTGGCATAATGAAGATGCTACAATTCGTATTTGACAAGATTGCTGTCAGTCACCAATTTGTCGTGGGAAGTGTTACTTTGTTACTAATGCAGGTATTGAAGAATTGTAACAAAGAATATCTGTCTATATTTCTGAGATGAGGTATTGTAATTATTTACACTATTTAAATTGTTAGGACTGATATCCTCATCTTTATTGTGATATTCACAACGTTTCGGCTGTTGCATGTTCTAGCCTTCTTCAGAATTTGTCTATATTTCTGAGATGCGGTATTGTAATTATTTACACTATTTACATTCTTCTAAAAACAACAAATCAGTGTAAATAGGCTTATTTATTTGCTGTTTTTAGTAATAAATTTATTTTAGTCATGGCTTCTTATTTATTCTTCCTTGTCACCTTTTTTCACCATTTTGATTATTGTTGTTCCAGTGAATCTTTCTGAAGAAATGTTGGATGAAAAAGGTTCCTTTAAAAGAATGTGCTCCATCATTTTAAAAACCATATATACAAGGTGCGATGGCTAAATTGTCATCTAAATGATGCAAAAAATGAAAATAACACTGACATCTCATTTTAACATATATATTTGCCAAAATTACACAAAAATATCTTGAAATGCTAAAGAGTCAATATATTCAATAAAATCGCCATTGGCTTCAACCACGGCCTCCAGACAACTTCAGAATCTTCTGTGACTCTTCTGAACGGTCTCCTTGTTTCAGTTGGTAAAATGTTTCCATAATCCTTGCCTTCAGTTCATCTTTGGTTTTGTTGGTCTCTTGTACAACTGCACCCCACACAAATAATCAAGGGTGTTGCAGTCTGAGGAGTTAGGTGGCCAGATGTAAGGAATGATGTGGTCACAGAAATTGTCTGGCATCCATGACTGGGTTCTCCTGCTTGTGTGGCATGGTGCAGAGTACTGTTGCCAGACATAGAGTCATTCAGCAGCCACTTTCTTGACCCAGAGCAGCACTACCTGCTCAATGCACTTGATGTAGGCCTCTGTGTTGAGTCTGAAGCCTTCACCAATAATTTCAGGAATTCTTTTCTTATTAGAATAAGCAGAGTGAGTTTTCCAAGCTGTCATACCTTCATAATCACCATTAGACTCATTCAAATCTTTCCAAATCCTCTGCACTGTCCTCAGATTGACACCAAGATGCTCTGAAATGTTCCTATTGGAGCTTCTGGCATGAATGCAAAGCAGTACAGCATGTTGTTTCCAAATTTCGATGGAGTGAATTACATCATGGTGCTCTTTTTCTCACAGACGGTGCCCAACTGACTCTACCATACTGTGCAGTCAACAAAATCAAAAACAAGCAATTCACATGCACAAAATAAAAAATATGAAATGGCGATAATATACCCACTGCATCCCATATATATATATTTTGTATATATATATATATATATATATATATATATATATATAAATCTGCCCTTATCTATCTATCTGTCTATTTATCTATCTGTCTATATCTTCAAAGTTCTTATCTATCTATCAAAGCTTGCCTTAATCTCTCTCTCTCTCTCTCTCTCTCTCTCTCTCTCTCTCTCACTATCTATCTATAAGTTTTTTCTCTCTCCTTCTCTGGTTCCACTCCCTCCCACTTAGACATTTACCCATTCAATTTTCATTTCCTCCTATAAAATATTGCCTCAGTTGCAGTGCCAAGCCAGAATCGGTTAAAATCCCAAGAGACATTTTGTTGCATATTGTTTCACATGTTTTTTTCTGCTTCCCTGAGCAGCCATTCTAGGCCAGGATAAAAATATTTTTATACCAATGAACATCCATCCATCCAGACAACAAAATGGATTCATAAATAAATAAATTAAATACATTTATATGCGAGTATATCTAGATCTAGATCTACTTTATTAGTTGCTGTCAAGGTTGACTATGAGTGTAAAAGCTTTTTCTTGCTCCTAACTTGATAGCCAAGTTAGTTATGGAAGAGTCATTTACTTAAGTGTTCAATCACCCACACTTCAACCATTACTGACCACTAGTGACAAGATATCAGATAATAGATAGAATATAGGGAGAAGTGAATTCATGCCTGTCCTAAGAGTATTTGATCTGAAGTTAACATGAGCATCTTCAACCAAATTCCATTTTCCAAAATGATAGCCATTATATCATTCTGGCCCCCCTCTCTCTTGGCTGCTGCTCCTGTATGTCTCTCTTTATCTCTTTCGCCTTCTTTCTCTCCCTCTCCTCCTGTATGTCTCTCTTTATCTCTTTCGCCTTCTTTCTCTCCCTCTCCTCCTGTATGTCTCTCTTGATCTCTGTCTCCTTCTTTCTCTTCCTCTGTATGTCTCTCTTTATCTCTATCACCTTTCTTGCCCTCCTTCTCTCTCTGTATGTCTCTCTTCATCTCTATCTACTTCTTTCTCTCTCTACCTCTCCATCTGTATGTCTCTCTTTATCTCTATCTCCTTCTTTCTCTCCCTCTCCTCCTGTATGTCTCTCTTGATCTCTGTCTCCTTCTTTCTCTTCCTCTGTATGTCTCTCTTTATCTCTATCACCTTTCTTGCCCTCCTTCTCTCTCTGTATGTCTCTCTTCATCTCTATCTACTTCTTTCTCTCTCTACCTCTCCATCTGTATGTCTCTCTTTATCTCTATCTCCTTATCTTATTTAATATCTCCACCTCTTAATATATTAAATAAGATAAGTGAACTATTTTATTACTAATAGTTTTACTAATTATATATATATATATATATATATATATATATATATATATATATATAATAATTTATTTTAAGATATTAAATTAAAACAAAACAAAAACATTTTAAAAATTGCTACACGATTCGTGTCATGACCTATATTTAAAAAAAATTTTCTATTAAGTTTGAATTTAACATAGGTCACATTCATTTAGTTAATCATGCCCACAAGCATTTTTTAGTCTTCTGCTTTTGAAATTAAATTAATCTTTCATTTGCCAGGAGTTTAACATCGCTCAAGGAGATACATTTATGGTGTTAAAACATGATTGTAATCATGTAGCAATTTTTGACATGTTTTGTTTTAATATCCTAAAATAAATAATATTTAGCTTTACTCTGTATTGAGCCCTCTTTTAAATTAAATGTTACATACAATGGAATTATACCTCATTTGTTCTCATTTTACCTGGATATATATATATTTGTGTATTTAGGCAGCAATCCTTCTTTCATGCATATTTCATTGAATACGAAAGACAAGGTGCTTTTATTTAGTTTTTATACAATTTCTCATGCGATCTAATAATTTTTTTCTTTTAAGAAGATAAATTATATAAAAACTGTCCAATTGTTCTTTTTATCTGAGCGCTTTCAGCTATACATTTGGCCATTTTCAAGATTGAAATATATTAACTGTTAACAAGAAATAGTTTGTTGCATTATGTATTTATATAATGTTTTCATTTTCAAAACACAGACAAGATATTGTGTCCATGTTCATCATTGATATTATTGAATTTTTTTTTTTTTTGTTTTTATTAATAAGGCTTCCGTTATTTTTAGCCTTTTTTTTTTGCATGTAGATGATGCTATTATATTTGTGTTGTTAACAAGTATGTTATGAATAGGGTCCGGTAGGTCTCCATGAGTATTTAAATGACACCTGATTGAGCTATGGTCAGAAAGGTGTAGTGTGAGTCTTCATGTCAAACATGTTGTAGTATGGCTCATATAATTATTTATGAATTTTGATTGATCAGGAATACAATCCTTAATGGACATTTAAATTCGTAAATAATATTTGTCCTATTTAATTTTGTCCTAAGAGGTGAATTATTATTTTTACCTATAAGGTTAGAGGTTTTAATTTTTTTGTAATAAATAATTAATCTAACGTTTTTGCTATTGTCAACTGGTGTTGTGTAATTTTTTTATAATATTCTTAAGTCTAGTTTTGTCTTGTTTATAATTTTCATTCATTTGATTTTTATAAAAAATATTAATGTTATTGTTTATATTTCTATTCTTATCATTGTTATTAACTACCTTAGACAGAAAAAGCCTAATATGGAAATATATATATGATGACTATGACTTGATTACAAGCAATGTCATCACTTGATTCATCCTCAAATATAGGCAGCCACACTAAGGCGTGTGTGTGTGTGTGTGTTTGGTGTCCACTCGGTCTCTCCCAAGCCACACACTATGGTTCTCGAAATAGCCAATGCAATCAGCATCAAAGTGCATAGTCATTGCCCCAGACCCTGCTGGGCAGGCCAAGTCATTCACCTTGAAGACAGCAGAATACTCAAGCAAATGATATATACTGAATACCAGTTCTCATCCGTTCACCAAAGTTAAACAACATTGATCCTGGTCAGTTTTCAGATGAGTGACAGTTGGGAAATACTCAACACGCCTAGTAAGCCGGCAATGGATACAATCTCACTACTTATACTAACAAGAGACCTGAATATGTGGAGGTGCTTCTGGGTTGACAGATCTCAAGACCTAGCTGAAGTGGAGTGAGAAGTGAGTGAATGACAAAGTCATACTCAATTGGAGTTTAAGATATCTTTTTACTGTTCACCCCTGTAACAGTTCATGCTTCTTCTTCTCTCTCTTTCCCCCCTCTCCTTCCCTCTCACCCTCTGCCACTTCCTCTCCCTCTCTCTCACTATCACTATCTCTCCCTCTCCCCCTCTCTCACTGTCACTATCTCTCCCTCTCCCTCTCTTGTTGATCTGGTGGTGGGAAGTATAAGCTGAGTTTCCCAACATTTTTTCATGGTCCTTTTTCTCAACCTGTTTATCACGTAAAGTTGCCTTTTGAAGACTCAACTTTGATCTTGTTAAAATAAATAAAACATAACCAAGGTTTGAGATTTTAATATCCCATCATTCTATTCAGTAAATTCAACTTTAGTCAACCAGAGAAGGTCGAAGAAAGAAAGAAAGAAAGAAAGAAAGAAAGAAAGAAAGGAAGAAAGGAAGATAGAAACGAAGAAAGAAAGAGTAGGAACAGAGAAAGTAGAAAGAGAGAAAGAGTATTGGTAAAAAGTAAGAAAGAAATGTAATGGTTATTGGCAAACAAGAGAGTAAGGGTAGGAAAGAGAATGAAAAAAATGTGTATCAATTGTGAATGGAGAAAGTTTAAAGGAAAGTGTAGGGAGAGGTTGATTGAGATAGGATGATAGAGAAAGAGTAATTACCCCCAGGGTCTGTGAGTGGAGCTATGTCCAACCACCTGTTCTTAAAAAACAACTCTTGTCCCCACCTACCTCCAAACCCATGCCCAGAAAATACTTGACAAGATTTATGACTTTTTTCAATATTCAGCAACGTTCAATGTCCTTTCTTAGCATTCTTTGTGTCAAGTTGTCTTGGTATCAGGGTGTGAATACACATGCACACAAGTACATGGGCACACACACACATACACACGCATTCTCTCTTTCTATCTCTCTCTCTCAAAACATAAATACACACACATTCAAAACATGTACACAAAAAAAACATACATGCACACACATTCTCTCCTTTTCTCAAAGCAAACACACTTTCTGGTAATGATACACCCTTATTAGAGCCTCACAAAAATATACACAGACATACATCCCATACATGCACAAAGGAAAAATACACCCAGCCACCCAAAAAGCAATACACATAAATACACTCAAACACTCAAAGAAACATGCAAACACAAACATAAAAATAAACACAGAAAAATACACACACTTACAAAGAAACAAATACATAAACACACACACACACACCCATATAAACATACATACAAAAATGCACTTACATAGACACACAAAACAAATCATTTTGAAAATCGTGAGAATTGAATATTGATTTACTTTCTGGAATTAGAAAAGTTAAAGTTGAAAATAAATTTTATTTCTGGTTTATAAAATGACAGATAAATTTGCAGCAACTTATTTCTCCTTTACAGTTTTGTATTTAATTTAGTTTGTTTAAAAATAACATTTTCCTTTCAACTTTCCACCAAAGTCAAATGTTATTTGTATTTAATAATAAAGTTGAAAATGCGTGGTCAAGAATGAATGTTACTGTTTTAGGTCTTAGGCAACAATGTAACTGATGAGCCAATCAGGGAGTTGGATGCTTTGACAATTTGGAGTGACATGTATTTTTTGTAAAGAAGGAAAATATATAAAGGAAATAAATGTGGTAATTCCATTGCAAATCTTCAAGACAGTGGAATGAGTTTAGATAGTCTAACTTAAAAGGGCTCTTGATTAGGCCTTCATCACAACAGGTAAGGAGGAGGAGATGTGTCAACAATAAAACTACAGAAGAACTCAAAATTGATTGCTGCATTTAAGTATTGCATTAATATTTTAGCTTACCTTTTAAAAGTTTAATGATAATTCTTCTGCCACCTCTTAACTTAAAAGACAGTTTGATGTATGTAGGTCCTTACTTTCCATACAAACAATTATTTTTATTTCATGGGTGACTTTTGCTGGATTTTGCAATTAATTTCAGTTTTTCCCAAATTTATTTCCAACTTATAAAAATTGTTATCATGCAAAAAATTTGTCACAAAAAATCATGTAAAAAAATCGCTGTAAACAATGAATGAATGAAAACTTTCAGAACTGCAGGACCAGATCCGACCCCAAATTTTTTAAATTGCTCACAGAGTTAGCCTGATTCCCAAATGATATGATGTGTTGGGCTACAGCCTCTAAAAATAAAGTTAAAAAAGTGTGACACACTGACATTTGCATTTATTATATAGATACTTTTATGCCAATTCAGAAAACTTACAAGGGAATATATTTGCACTTAAATATCTATTTCAGTCTCTATCCAACTATCATTTATCTATCTGTCTATTTATCTTATAATTATCTATCTATTGCAATTTGTTCATATCTGTCTATCTGTCTATCTATCTTTCACAATTTGTTCATATCTATCTATCTATTTATCTGTCTATCACATTTTGTTCATATCTATCAATGTATCTATCACAATTTGTTCATATCTATCTATCTATTATCTATCTATCGCAATTTGTTCATATCTATCTATATCATTCTATCTATCGCAGTTTGTTCGTCTATCTTATCATTATCTATCTATTGCAATTTGTTCATGTCTGTCTATCTATCTGTCTATCTATCTATCACAATTTGTTCAGATCTATCTATCTATATATCTATCTATCGCAATTTGTTCATGTCGCTCTCTTTCTATCTGTCTATCACAATTTGTTCATATCTCTATGTATGTATCTCTCTATCTATCTTCATTTATTCAATACCTATGTATTAGAAGGCTGATTCATAATTAATTCCTGTTTTGGTGACCTAACTGTAATATTTTAAAAATAAAGCTGCTAAAAAAAAAGAGGAATTATTTATGATTCAGCTTAAATTTCAGTTTATGTTTTTCTTATAATAATGTTTTTTCTATTGTTTTACACACACACACACACACAACAAATATTTCTATGTCAACAAAAATTTACATGTCCATCGTTCTTGTTTTAAAAGCTTGAATCTAAATAATTACAAGTTTATGTTAAAATATCTGAAATTTGAAATCAACTATTTGTGTAGACAATGAGAATAAAAGAAGAGCGGGAGGGGGGAATAAAGAAAGAAAAATAGAGGGTGAAAGAAAAAAGAGAGAGAGAGAGAGAGAGAGAGAGAGTGAAGAAAGTTTACATGTGATTATTTTAAGGACGTCATAAAGAGCTTTATATGTCATCTTAAATGAAACTTCACTGTGGCAATAAATATGTGGAAATAATTATATGAGGCACAGACTATGAAAGATATACAATTTCTATTTTTATAACATACAAGGTTAGGAAGTTATACCCACTCCTTCAGCCCCGGGTTACAAGGTTATTGGGTACAAAGTGATAGCCTCTGATTTTCTTGCTTGAACAAAGATACCATTGCTGGTGGTCCCAAAAGGACATCTGGCTTGAATAATCCACTTTCTTGACATTAAATACTTTGATGAGGCATCAAGTCAGAAACAGTCATTAACAAAAAAAAGCCCTTTCCCAACATCTTCTGATAATCTTGGTCTCATGATGAAGTTCCTTCTGAAAATATTTTGTTTTAGAAAGTAGAAAGTAAATTTAAAAATGGAAGTATATAGACATTTTAATAAAAAAGATCAAGTTTGAAAAACACTTCTCAAGATTCTAATCTGGTCCTTTTTAAACAAATATAGTATGTGAATGTATTTCTCAGTTCTATTTTAGTAGCTAGTCGTGTAAACCATGTGGGGTTACCCCATTTGTCTCATAAGGAACTTCTGCTAACAGTTGCTAACCAGCTTTGTATAAAGCATTATATAAAATCTCTTTCTCTTACTGGTTCTGTAGGGTGTTGCAGTACTGCTCATAGTTGAAGTAAAAACAGTGAAAAACAAAATTTACACTTATAAATGGGGGTTTGTCATTGTTAGTAGATGTGGATGGAAATGGAATAAATTTGGACAAGATGATATTTTTGTTATCTGTCTATATTTCTGAGATGAGGTACACTATTTACATTATTTGGAGTATTGTCCTCATCTTTGTCACCATATTTATTACAATGATTCGGCTATTGTACACTCTGGCCTTCTTCAGATGGTTGGAATGTCAAACTGAACCCTTATTTCACTCACTGGGGTAGACTGTTTTAATGGATGTCAGTTGTCAGTTATCTCCTGCTAATTCCCCTCTCCAAGTTCTCCACCGCTTTAACCGGGTATTGAACTCACATTTTTGGGGTCCTGTCACTGGATCTAACGCCTTTATCCACTGTGCCATGTATCCTTGAGGAGATCTTCGTATGAATTTTTGGGTATTATAAACCTAATGTCTTCAGCAACCTATTTTACCAGTGCTCATATTGCAATTCTTGCTGTTATCATTGCATTTTTTTTGTTTTTTTTACCAGAGATCATATTGCAATTTTTGTTGTTATTATTGATTTTCTCTGGCACTCCTTATTACTGGCTCCCATATTGTATTCAATTCTATCCTTGGTTGGCTCAGGAGATTTTTGTGGCCTAGCATATGTGCTGATTCCTCAAGTTTATGAATTTTCCAATGGTGTTCTTTGTCTATGATCTCAACCTGACCCACAGAGGGCAGTGATCTCCCTTTTCTCTCCATATGTGGTCAGTCACACCTGATTTTTCTACTTCCCCTCGTGTTACAGCTTTCTGGTGTTCTTGAAGCCTTAACTTAAGGGGACAGCCTGTCTCCCCTTTATATTCCTTTCCGCAGCTGCATGGGATAGCGTACACACAGTCTTTAGTCATGTTCTCCTCTATGGGGGTCTTACTCAGGAGAGATATCTGCGAAGTGTCATCCAACTTTTGAAGGTTGTCCTGATGTTATATGGACCGCAGATCCTTTGTATTTTCTCTGATAACCCCTTCACATAAGGCAGGCATTCTGAGTGTTGTTGTCTTCCTCTTGTAAATATGGAGACAAACTCCAATTCTGGCAAAACTGTTTAACTGTTGCTTGAAAGAAAGATCTGCTACATAAACTCTCCAGCTATGGTATCTCTGAAAGATCTCTCTCAATTATCAAGTCCTTCCTGACAGCTAGATCCTTGAAGGTCATTAATGGCCTGTCATTAAAAGCTCATAAGATCAATGCCAGTGTTCTATGGGGTCCACTCCTCAGTCCTACCCTCTTTCTACTGTATATTATGGATCTACCCAAGAGCATACACCAATCATTAGTGAGTATCTATACAAATGATACAATAGTTTACAGGTGCACCTCCCAAAATCTGGTAGACCAGAAGCTAGCATCTCATCTCTCCTCTGACTTAGCCCAGGTGGCTCAATGGGGATATTATCCTGGGTATGACAACAAACTACATCTGGCAGCAAGGCCTCTGATTGAGAAATTGGAGGTTTTGAGGAGCACAGAACCACCTATTAACTGCTGTTGCTTCCAGGTCCACTCTTGCCCAGGGTGGTAGCACCTGTTATGGTCCCAGCTATGGGCAAATCATGAATCCCCAAACAAAAATCAACAGGATATTGTTTTATAATAAAATGATCAACAATACATTTTTATAATAAAATTACCAACAATACATTTTATTTTATAATCTACAAACTATATATCTAAAAACATACATTATTATACAAAATATTTATATTTTTGCATTAAATAACCCGTAGAGGTCGATATGCTCCTAAACATAATGAACCAACCGACAATACATATTTATAGTAAAATGACCAAAAGTACATTTTATCTGTAGTCGAAGGCAAACAAATGCATTTAAAATATATTTAGTTGAAACTATAAAATTGTGTAATCAAAATCAACCAATCAATGGGAAAGGACTGGTATATAAAATTCAATATACCTAAAACCAAACTAGTTTCCAAACATTCCAAACATTTCACCACCACTGAGCAGACTTCAAGCTTTCACCTATGAAAAACATTACTACTGTAGTGTTTTATCCTCACAGTATACCCCATAATTATAGCCTTGTGTCAGATGAAGCTTATCAAATATTATAAAGGCCCTTGTAAAGCAATAGTCAGAACATTACTATTGAAAGTTTATCCACAATGGGTACCCTATATTTGTAACCTTGTGTCAAACTAAGCTCAAAACAAATTAAGTACAGGACAACATTGATGAAGTCCCCAGTAAGAAACAAATTAACAAGAATTACTTTAGGGAATAAACATTTTAATCCTTGTTATGTAAGTAAGTAAATGATTGGCTTATTGTTTCCAAATATGACTGTCTGCTGGAGTTACTAGTTGTTGACACCTGTTCTGACTCATTTGTGCTTCAACACCCACAGAGTCAATTTGTGGTTTACACTGTAACTATACTGAGCAGACCTTAGTTACAGTTTCTTTGCCAAAAAGATTCAAGCATTTACAGGCATGGTCTTGGTGTTTACATCCAGGATAATCTTCCAATGACCAGGGAATTGTCTCTTGAAGCCACTAACTACTCTTTCATGTGCTTCTGTCTTTTGCTGCTAAGCTCTGTCTTTTTCTTTTATCACTCCCCCACTTCCCAAAACTGCATTATATTAGAAGAAATAGCTGACAGTATAAAAAAAGGTACTTTCTTTCCATCCATCTGCGAACATCATTGTCTTGGGTGACATTAATGTTCACCACAGCAGTTGGCTGAAACATTCCAAAAGTACTGATGTTGCTAGTATACAGACATTGAATTTTTCCATTATCCAATCACTAACTCAACATGGATTTCCCTACTTATCTCCTAGCCAAACCAAGCAATATGCTTTTCTATTGGATCTATGTCTTACCTCCTCTCCCCACTCTTGCCAAACTTCACAATACTGTCCTTTTAGTAATTTGGACCACTCTGTGGTAGCTATTGATATCTCCTTCCAAGCATCCATTAAACAGGAACCCCCTATCCATAAGACTTCTTTCCATTATCAGCATGCTGATTGGGACTCATTCCAGGATTTTCTTCGTGACGCTCTTTGGACTGACATCTTCAACCTCTCATTTGAAAATTGTGCCACTAAAGTTTCTTCTTGGGTCAAAGCTGGCATGGACACTTTCATCCTTTCTTGGAAATACCAAGTGAAACCACAATTCTCTCCATGGTCCATACCAGCATGATTGGCTGCCATAGCACGCAGGAACCACTATGTCCAGCTATAGCAGTATGACAGCTCTTGTCATAACAGGTGCCTATTTGTGACAAATGTAAGTGAGTTCTCTAAAAATCTAAGTCCCTGTTTGCTGAGAGAATGAAGCACCATAGATCCTCTAAAAACTGACTCTCGTGACTACTGGTGTCTCTGTAATAGGTACTAAATAAATGCAAGGGCTTTATTCCTCCCTCTTCAATCGATTTGAGGTGTTATCATCTTCTGCTGATAAAGCTCTATTGCTTTGCCCATAAATTCTCCTCAAACTTTACTCTTGATTCATTTGAAGTATCCCTGACTAACTTCCCACTTAGAACTGATTCTCTGTTGAGTGATATGCATAGAACCCCTTCTATGGTTTCTGCTATCATTTTGATTCCCACAAAGCATGTGGACCTGATGGCATCCCTGTATCATTCATAAAGAAGTTTGCTCCCAAACTGACTCCTATTCTCTCTAAACTTTATAATAAATACCTTGCTGCCTCCTGCTTTCCTGCTTGCTGGAAGTCATCATTTGTTGTTCTAGTTTTTAAGAACTCTGGTGAACCATCTGACCCATCTATCTATCAGCCTATTAGCCTTCTGCCACTTTTGGGGAGACTCCTAGAGGCCCTAATCAATGTGGAATTGGTTCATC